CCAATCTCAATACAATATGTAGATTCAAGAGAACAATTTCCATTAGTTTCTTCTCCTGCTGTGGAAATGGAATGTGGCTTATTCATTTATGGAAAACTTGTATAGGTTTACTATGTGCCACTCAGAGCTTTAAAAACATTCAGTTTTTATTTATTTATTTGTTGGTTTATTTRTTTTTGGGGATTGAACCCAGGGCCTTGTACATGGAAGGCAAGCACTCTACCAACTGAGCTATATTCCCAGAACTATATTCAGTCTTTTAAARCCTCATCTCTACTTCGTGAGTAGACACTACTCTTACCATCATTTTATAATGAGAAAACAAGACAAGAAAGATTCAGTTACTTGTCCAACATCACCACGGTAAGGGCTGAAGCTGGGATTCGTATTCAGACCCTATGGCTAAAGAATCTGTGCTCTAAATACCATGCAACGGGTATGAAAGAAATTTGGCAATTTACTAAATACTTGTACGTAGTATAGTTAACGGCTCTCGTGGTTAACAGGCATCCAGGTAAAGAATAAATAGATTCATGTCCAGTTCTTTGACATGAAAAAGTTATCCAAGAGAAAAATAGCCACCAGAAGTTATTAAACTGTTGGGATGGTCATTTCTATATTTTCTAAAACCTTTCTGTTAGGAAGCAGACAGAGCAAAATTTCCTTTCAAACTAGTTGTTTTACATATAAAAACAGATAAATTTAGTACGGACATCACTGTGTACTTTCAGACTAGTTACTTAGAACAGGAATGAAGTTTAAGAGTGTGACTATTCTTAAAAACATGCTCAAAGAAAGACAAACACTAGCTTCTAAGTCATTGATTCTATTACTATTTTAGATGTAAAGAAAATCACACAGCTTTCCACGTTCCAGAAATGAAGTAAGCATCTGGCCACGGGAGAGTCGCTGTACTCCAGTTTGGAAATAAAGGGCATGTGTTTGGTAACAGTTTCTTCAAAAGAATTACAGAAAAGACAGCGATGATTTAGAAACTATCCTCTAAGGAAATTTATCATGCTCTTTGCAGGAGACAAAACAGCCTTCAATTTTGTATGCAAATTCTTGTCAGCAAGTACATTATGGTGTAATAGACAATATATGATCATGCTATAAAATTGTTTTTGTTTGGATTTTTGTTTGTTTGTTTTGTTTTGGCATTGGTAAAGATATTCTTGATTTGGTTTTCTTCAGTTCCAGGCAGGCACATTATTAGTGTGAAGACTGATTACTTACCTGAGTGCTATAGGTACAAAACTTTTTGTCTTCGACTAGATAAAACCACATTGCCTTTTTGTTACTTGCTTTGTGTCACAGGACAGGCCTCCTTTTATATGAACTGTTTTGCAAAGTGAGTTATTAGTCATTCTAATCCCATTTATGTAATAATTTATCATGAACCTACTATCTTATATCTTGGATCCTAGACCTACTATTGTATTTCACTGACCTATATATGTATTGACAAGGAATAGATCTTTTAAAAATATTATAGATTTCTAACCTTGGTATATTTGGTAAAACAGATTGGCGTTTGTCTTAGTCTTCTTACACTGCCATAACACAAAACCATAGACTAAGGGTTTAAAAAAACACATTTATTCTCTCACAGTTTGTTTTAGTCAGCTCTCTTGTTGCTGTGACCAAAAAGACCTCACAAAAACAATTAGAGGGAGAAAAGTTTATTTGGGGACTCCATTTCTTGGGCCATAAAGTGAGGCAGAACATCAAGGCAGAAGTGTGGGGGAGAAAAGTGGCTCAGGACATGGCAAGGAAGCAGAGAGAGCGAACTCCACTCAACAAGAACAAAATATATACCCCAAAGGCAGTCCCTAGGGACCCACCTCCTCCAGCCACACTCTAGCTTCCTGCAGTTACCACTTAGTTAATYCCCTGTCAGGGGATTAATTCAGTGACTGGATTAAGGCTCTCATGACCCAATCATTTAACCTCTAAACCTTGCCTGTCTCACACATGAGCTTTTGGGTGACACCTCACATCTAAACTATAACACTGTTCCAGAGAGTGGGAAGTCCAAGATCAAGGTCTGGCAGTGCTTAGTCTCTGGTGAGGGTATTTTCCAGGGTGCAGGCAAACACKTTCTCACGTGACCCTCACTTGCAGGGGAGAGTAGGCTCTTTGTTGTCTCTACCTATAAGAACACTAATCCCATCAGGCTAGAACCTCACATTCATCTCTTCATCTACCTCTAAATCTTAACACGCCTCAACAAGACTCCTAAAGTACAAGAAGTAAAATCAGTAATCGAGAAATGAGATGGTATCAAACTAAAAACTAAAAAGCTTCTTCACAGCAAAGCAAACAATCAAGAACATGAAGAGAGAGCCTACAGAATAGGAGAAAATCTTTGCCACCTGCACCTCAGATGGAGGATTAATTTCCAGGACATACAAAGAGCTCAAAAAACTTAACACCAAAAACCAAATAACCTAATCAACAAATGAGCAAAGGAACTGAACAGGCACTCACAGAAGAAGAAATAATAATGGTCAACAAATACATGAAAACATATTCAATATCTCTAACAATTAAATAAATGCAAATTAAAACTCCACTGAGATTCCATTTCACTCCACCCAGAATGGCAATTATCAAAAATACAAGCAATAATAAATGCTGACGAGGATGTGGGGAAAAGGTACACTTATACATTTTGCTGGGTGGAACTGCAAACTGGTGCAACCACTCTGGAAATTTGCATGGCAATTCCTCAGAAAACTTAGAATGGAACCACCAGTTGACCCAGTTATCCCCTCCTCGGTATATATATCCAAAAGGCTTAAAATTATCATACTACAGTGATAYGGCCACATCTATGTTTATAGCAGCTCAATTCACAATAGCTAAACTATGGAACCAACCTTGGTACCCTTCAATAGATGAATGGCTAAAGAAAATGTAGTATAAATGCACAAGAGATATTATTCAGCTATAAAGAAGAATTAAATTATGGCATTTTCTGGTAAAGGGATGGAACTGGAGACTATGATGCTAAGTGAAATAAGCAAATCACCCAAAAAACAAATGCCAAATGTCCTTTCAGATATGCAGATGCTAAAAATAGAAGTTCATTGGATTAGACAAAGGGGAATAAGGGAAGGGAGGGAGAATGGGAATAGGAAGACAGTAGAATGAATTGGACATAACTTTCTTATGTGCATTCATGAATACATGACCAGTGAAATTCCACATCAAGTACAACTGCAAGAGTGGGATCCTAATTAGAATAAGTTGTACTTTGTGCATGTATAATATGTCAAAGTATACTCTAGTGTTATGTTTTCTATTCTATTTTTTACTTTAAAAGGAATTTTAAAAATCCTAACACAAATACAAATAACCCTCAAAAACATCACACTGGGTTTAGAGCTTCAATGTATGGTTTTGAGATGGAGTGTAATCATTCGGTTCATAAAAGGGGTAATCTTTTATTAAAGACAGATTTCTGCTGTTTGTTCCTTTCTATGGATGAAATCTAGACTCACAGACTTACCTATGAATGAAGTTGTATTATTATGTTTCTCTTCATATGTCAAGCTTTAATCTTTTTGGGAACAAGGTCTACTTTATAAACAACTGCATCATATTGGGGAATATGGACCTCAACTTATTTTTCTGAAATATTTTTATGTTTTTCCACCCTAAGTTTGTTTGAAAGTATTAGAAAAAGAAATTTAAATTCAATAATGACATCTCAGGCATAAGTTAAGCCCACCCATAAGATGGTAGGAAATGTATAGTTTTTGCCTCATCTCAAGAAATTCAGTACTTATTCCTGTATAAATTCTTTTTAGTTCCAAAAAAGAAGAAATCTGAATGGTTTTATAGATGCAGAACAAAGAGATACTTTGCTCTCATACCTACTGGAACATAGGAGTTTACATACAAAATGAAAATGGCAATAACCAGTTTAAAGTAGTACAGGCAGCAAGGGCATAATACTGATACTCGAGCTGTAACTCAGTATACTTGGGGTGTATTATTTTGGAATCTTGCGTAAGGAAAAGAGGTTCATTAGCTTCTAACATCGTTGAGTCATGGTTGAAACCATTCGAGTCACTTCATTAAATTTCTCTCCACAAAGATTTTGGCCTGGTTTATTGTGTTTTCCAGACATAATGGGCCTATGGTGGGAATTATAACACTGAGTCATGGACAATGCTGACTATTTTAGCTCACCAAGAGCACATATGAAAGTGTTCACCATGCAGGAGTATGCACAGACTCTAAACTATGTCTGTGGCTTTAAATCTTCTTTTATTAGATGTTATTGCCTTTTCTAAAGGATCCAGGGCTGGAATTCATACTGTTCTCAAGTAGCAAAAAAGAATGCAAACAACACCATAAGATAAAGAAAAACTGGCACTCTCTGTAACATTTTTTTTCTTTCTGTACAGTTCCACCAATTAATGTATGGAACTGTATTGATGTAAGTGTTGAACAAGCCAAGTCAAATTTATTCTTGCATTAAATATTTTAAAAACACTTAAAAGTCCTTTACTTTCTGCTTCATGTTTTTGAAACTCTGTAGCAGATGTCTCAGAATCTTTACTAGTGAAAATATTAAGATATTTCTTCAGTGAAAACCAGAGGGAGAGACAGAGAAACAGACTAAAATATGTCAGAGCAACCTCCCAAAACTCTTTAAGAGTATAAGTTTCTTTGTTTATTTATGAAAATATATTTATCCACAGACTGATTCTTCATTTAACTTAAATACCACCAGAAGTATCAGGCATTCTTTATCTAACTTCAGATTTATAGGACCATCAAATTAACTTATAAGTCAAATTGATTAGTTTGCATATAGTGTCAATTTTATCATTGTTTGTTACAGTAAAAATTGCATCACTCTATGAGTTTAGGTCCATGTTGAGGGCACTGAACTAAAACCATTCACATCCATCCTTTAATTTTATTTCCCAAGAACATGTGCCTCCTAAGGGATAATAGCATCGTAAGAAGTAGCTCATTCTTACCAGAACATTGATGGTCACCTGAGCAGTAGCCCTCCTTTGTCTGAAGGGGTCAGGAATGGCATCGTTGTCCAAGTCTGCAATCCTGACGGTTATCTTATRCTGTGATTCCACTTCCCTGTCTAGTGAATCTAGTAGCTTTATCATGCCTGACACGAAAATAATGGGAAACTTGTTACCCCAGTATTACCAAACATCCTCAATGTATGCTGAATTATGAACTATATAAATGAAATATAATCATTACAATAACAAATGGAAATTAACTAGTACAAAACAATGTAGTTATACATTCATTCTTCCAAAGCATAATTTTGCAGCCAAACCACAACAGATGTTAATTCATAGTCTTTTAGTCACATTATTAGGTATATAGGACATACATGCACACAGACTTTCTGGAGTTCAATATTTCAAAGATCAGAGCATCCATACTTTCCTTAGAGCACCTGAGAATTCACAGATACATGTCACACATCAATGTGAAGACAGCATAATTCAAGAGAGAGTTTATTGAAGTTGGTCTAATTCTCACCATTTCTATATAAAATAGATTCCAAATGAGCACATGTGACCTCTTTATTTTTATTACTGATTGATGTGTTTTTACAATACCTGTATCTGGTTCAATGTAAAATTTGGGAGGAGTTCCCACATTGCCTCCAACAATGGTATATTTTAAGTTGTTAAATGGCCAGTCTGCATCTGTAAATGTAATTTTTCCAACTAGTGCATCAACTGGACTATTTTCAAATATAGTGAAGGTAACCGATGTAGTTCCAACTGGATTTAGTTCATTTATGCGACTCACCCTTACAATGATTGTAAGAATAGCTATGGAAAAAAAATGTACATAAAAACATAGTTAGGGTAATCATATCTCTGATATTCTTTATTTTCCTTTTCTGTTTTACTAATACCTTAAATATTTAATATTTGGATTACAAATCATATTTATGTTGATGTTTCATTATTAAATTTTRCCTTTTAAATTATAGAGCATTTAAAGTTAAATTTAGATTAAAATACTTTATTAACTGCTTTTGAACACCTGTCAAAACAATGTGTTCTATAGTATGATTATACTAATCATATATTCTAAATTAAAAATCACAGTTTATTATGGACAACATAGTGTTCAATGATTGGAAWATGATTAAATTATTCCATCCTGACAATATAGTCAATAATAAACAAAATGCAATTTACTCTGAGAATCTGAATACTAGTATTTTCTCTAATGCAGAATTTAAAAAAAATTCTTTGGAAATCTTTCAAATACACAAAGATTACAGAAAAGGTTCATCTTTGACATCATCTTCAAATAACTGCAAATTTCTATATGACACATTTGAACATTATTATCTAAGCTGGTTCCAGTTTTAATTTAGTCTTCTGGGTTATAAATAGTAGTACATATGCAGTAAATAARTTAATATAATATCAATCTATATGCTTTAATGCAACAGATAATAGGAAGATTTTAAACATAAAATACTAAGAAAAATAGTAGGCATTTTATGTAACTCAAATTATTTAATATTTCAATTTGTTAACTTCTTACTTGAGAGTGCAGGACTTCCTTCATCAGAAACTCTCACAAACAATGTATATTTGAAGTGCATTCCTGCAAAAATAGCATTATCAAAATCTAAATGTGTAGATCCAATCTGTAGGTGAAAAATATGAACAACAACAATTTTGATTAAACATCTATTTTTCAACTACATGAATCCAAAGCTAAGAGATGTGACAAATAAGTGAAAAATGAGGATGTACAGAGTACTGTGCAATAGAAATAGAATATGGGCCACAAGCACAAGTTGCATGTGTGATTTTAACTTTTCTAGAATCCCATTTAAAAATTAAAAACAAGTGAAATTAACTTTAATAAAGATTCTTATTTAATCAAACATATACAAAATACTGTCATATCAACATGTAATCAACATCAAAAATATTGGAGATGYTGACATTTGTTTGTTAGTACTAATTCTGGGAAATCCATGACTTATTTCATAATTGCAGCTTATTTTCATTTGAATAAACCACATTTCTGGAATTCCAAGGCATACATAGCTATAGGCTTCTATAAATTTATTTAAATTAATATTATTACATATTTGGGTAGTTTATATTCTTAAGTTATATTGTCAAGTATAATAATAGCAAAACTAGGGTATTATATTTCATGTTCTTTTGTTTTCACTGATTCATTTACTATAGGTTTCCCCATTTCCCACAATCTCTTCATAAACACAGATGATCTCCAAATTACCATGGTTAAACTTACAAGAGTTTTATAGTAGTGCCMAAATGATGTGTATTTAGTAGAAATGTACTTCAAGTTTTGAATCTTGATTCCTGGGCTAGTGATTAGTAGTATGATATTCTCTTTTGAGTCTGGGCAATGGCAGTTAACCATAGCTCTGTCAGCTACACCTATCATGAGGGGAACCAAGCAATTTTCTGCAGTGTTCTGTGTTGATAAGCTGTGATGTTCTTTAGGGTTAGTTATTACATGCATTTTCAACTCACAACATTTACAATTTACGATGAGTTTAATCTGAACATAACCYCATTATAAGTCGAGAAGCATCTGTAGTTACTATGTTATGTATTTAAGATTTGTTAAAAGAAGCTATCATGACTTTCTTAGCATTCTTTCAAAATGAATTAGATCTGGGTTAGTATTAGTGGGAATAATCTCCCAGCAGTAAGCTTTGAATTGCAAGCTTCAAAATCATGCAAAAACAGAACTTGAGACTGACTCTGTGAGAGAGGTCAAAGCATCTCATATTTTTGCTCTTTCCCTTTACTCTCCAGGGAAGGATGTGCAGGGCAGGCATGATGTTTTCAGGATCTTTAACAATGTTAAATGTAAGGGGCAATCTGAGAGTCTTCCCCCCACAGCTCGTGCATAATCACACAATCCTCTGGGTGGTCATAGAATAGACTAGATGTGAGACCATCTAAAGGAAGAGTGGAAATAATATGATTGCATTCTGTGCCTCCAAGCTTTTCTGAAGTCCTTTTTGTGTGTCAGTCACATCCACATTAACTATTTTTCAAACCAGTCAGCATTATTAGGCAGGGGAGTTATGTGTAGCAATTAAGTGATTAGTTGGGACAGAAAAGCATAGAAGAATAGCATTGTTTAAGATTCTGGGTTTCAAGAATTTGAGAAATTAGGGACTRTAAATAAGTCAAGTGGGAGAAAAAAATAATTTCTTTGTGCATGAAGAAGAATATTAGGTGGTCTATAAGRTACTTTTCAATGTTAAAATTCTGTAGTCTGCATTCTAAGTGGCCAAAGGAAGGTAACATAWAGAACGGCAATGGCACTGAACCAGGTATCAGTCAGAAAGTTAGTAATTCACCCTGGTAATTGTCCTCCAAAATTACTACATGCTTTTTCTCACCCTGTTTATACTATGGCAATGTGGAAAATAGAAATAAATTGAGCATTGAGAGAAACTACAACTACTATAAGAAGATAATCAAAGGCACACACAAATAAATATGAATAAATAAATATAACATGGCAGAGCCCTACAGAAATGTTACTGGGAGAGTTAATATTCCACATGGTAAAAAAAAAAAAAAAAAAGTTAATTGACTCCTTGCTAACTTCCAAACCACAAAATTAATTCTGTTTTTCCAACAATTTAGGTATGAAGGTCATTGGTTAAAATATTTATAGGAAAATAACCTATATCATATTATGCTTGAATACATCATACAAATCAATAAGGAAAATAAAGCAATAATGGATAAATACATGTTCATCCTGTTCATACAAGTACCCTGTCCAAATACTTGCTGTTTCTTCACATAATGGTGAATATATAAAAAGATCTACAATCTTATTACCAAACAAGCTAAATATCGTAATATGTATGARAATACCAGATATTGAAATAAGGCACTGAAGAAGAACCATGCTTAAACATTACTGATGAGAGTTCAAGCTGATACAACCAACCAATATGGAAAACAACTTGATACTACTTCATGTAATTAAATGATATAACCTAGAGTACATGTTGCATGAAAGAACCAAAGGAAAKGCATAATAATATTCATAATAATATTACACATAATAAGCAAAAATTAGAAGGAAATTCAAACTTGCATTTTTGGGAGAAAGACTAGAATCACCCAATAGAATATTAAAGAATAATATGGAACATTATAATAATCATATTGATTGATATGGCCCATATAGAGACAGTCATTAGAAGCACAACATAAATATCAAGTTATGAATCTGCATATATTATATCATTTCTTTTAAAGCTTTTCAATATAGTTCAGGAATACATACATGGTWGATAAAACTAAATTCCTCAAGGTAGTAACAAACACAAAATTCAATATACCTATTTTCTCAGGAAGACAAATGACAGGGCTCCCTGGCTACTAAGCTATGCTGCCGGCCTATGGGTCCCTGCCCAGAACTGGCAAAGGAGTAGTGGGGCTGCAAAGTGGCAGCCCAGATGGGTCCGGCTGAAGGAGTAAGCACTGCCCCCCATGGTGGGCCTGAGGCACTGTGAGGCAGGGCTTGCCAAACTATCATCCTTCAGCCAGGCCTGGGCATAATACTGGTACCCTGCTGCARGAGCCTACTCCACACAGTTTGCCCAGAACCTGCAAATATGGAACACCCCAGGACCTCAACCTGCGGCTTCCTGACTGGTGGCAAGAAAATGGAAGGGAGGCTGACCTGAATGGAAATCGGGGCTCAAGAGCTGACCAATAGCATTTGTGATCTGGAATCCCAAACCTTAATTAGCATCAACTTAGACCAATTACATTGGTACTCTTTTCAAACCATAATTAACATAAGTTTGGACCAATAGCAGCGGCCCAAAAGCTATATAAACACCTAAACTAGTACAGTTGGAGCAAGAAAACCTGCTTTCAGGTCCTTTCCGGCGCTGCTGGAATTCTGTTCCTGTTTCTAACTATCAGTTAAATCCTGCTCTTACACTCACTCATTCTGGTCTGAGGATTTCACAAGACAAGAACCCAGAAAGAAGAAGAAATTGAAGGTAAGTCTCTGGGGTCTGCTACAACGTTGGAGGGCATGGCCAGATATTAAGAGCTGCAACACTTCTTGGCTGCAGAGACCTGCAATCTTAGCAGACCCCATCCACCACCTGCCAGAGAATGAGTTTCCTCTCAAAACTCCAGTTTCACAAGGAGAAGGGTGGGAACAGGTAAATTGGTGTTAGTGATTTTGTAATTCTGAAGTGCAGGGATGGATTCAGTGATTCATTTCATTACTATGCTGCATAATTTGCAAATCTGTTAATTATGTTATCTTAAAAATATCAGATCATCCTTAGACAATAATAATTAGGAATGGAATGACTAACAAAATACATAGGATGGGGTGATTTTTCACATCAATGTCCATTAAAGAGAAATAACCTAATAAAATACAAGACTAACAATACTGACTTAGAGAAATATTCATTTCATTACCTTACTTAAAAGTTAAATCTATTGCATATGAAATCATTTGGATTAATTAAATAGTAATTCACTGTTAAACATTAAAATTATACATTTATTCCTGGTATCCTGGTGAAAATCATTCCTTAATTAATTGAGATAACTTTAAGTTAATATACACTAGTCTACTAGAGCTTTAATCATTATTTTAAAATAAAGTTTTGATGCTTATTATAAATCCACATTTTGAATGACTGCTAGAGCTGTTTCTCCTCTTAATATAATACACATGCCAAAGGATGGTAAAAAGAACTAATCACCACTACTTTTACATTTTAAAAAACTCAAGTTCTAGATTGTAGTCTTTTGTGAGTTTAAAAACTTAAGCATTTTTGGAAAACTAAATAGGTTTTCTTTCTATATTCTGCTAATAGATGTTTAATTCACTAAACATTAAAATTGTCTTTCTTTTTACAAACTGGCTTTTCTTCCCTTGCTGCTATAGCAAGATTAGCATGTTTACCATCTTAATAACCCTTTTTGAATTTAATATCCCATTTAAGAAAATTGCAATTATACTCAATCCAGTCATATAGTAATTGGGAGAAAAAGATAAAGGGGTTATATCACATATCAATAAGTTAATTGAAGTTAATATTCTACAATCTCCAGGGAAAGGTAGGGAAATCAATGGTTTTCATTCTGTGAATATTGAGACTGGATTTATGTTTAGTCAAAATTAGAGTATATCCAATACAATAATTTTGCTATTGTTTATTTGTATAATTTTGGTTGTTTTATTTGTTTCATTTTTGTTAGAGTTGTCCAAATAGGAAGAATTCAAAGATATATTACATAGTGTCATGATTTTTACCTTCTTAATTGAGAATATTTTGATACCACATTATTTTTCATTATTATCAGGATATGTATGTGTATGTATATATATATATATATATATTTTTCATTATTATCAGGATATGTATGTGCATGTATATATATGTATATATATAGTTTATATGAATCTATTTTAATATTCTGGTCATATAAGCAATATCTTCTTACTACAAAGAATTGTGAAAAGGTAACCTTGATGCACTTGGCAGTAATTTGTTACTAAATCCTGTCAATGGCTTAAAAATGTTTTGAAATTTCAATTTTGTTTATTTATGATTCATTAATTCAGTCTTGATTAATATGTATCCAACCAGCACCAAATATGTCATACTTCTAGTTTAATAACAAACTTTCTTCTTTTACTCTAATTGGGAAAACAGAGGTGAAATATGTGAGTAGTGCCAAGGTTGGAGAGCTATAAAATGCTGTGAGAAGCCAAGGAGAGGCACCTCATCCAAACATGAAAGAGAAGAAACATCAGGGATGGCTTCCTAAAAGAAATGTTAATGCAAATTATGAAGGTTGTGCAAAAGGGGACATGGGAAATGGGGACACAAAAAAAAGCTAGGGTGGATTTTGAACAGCATTAAGATCGAAAGGCAGGACTGAAAGACATCACAGTATTTTAATGTCATGAAAATTATTCTGTGCCTCAATCACAGTGTGGGACAGCAAGTGGTAAAGATATAGGGGTTTGTTTGAAATGCATCTTGGGTAGAAGTTCAATTTCAATGAAATCAGTATAAAAACTAAGTGAAAAAGTACTTCTTACTTATATTTCACTCATCCAGTCCATGTTGTGTTGTTCATAAGCTAATTRTTCAGATAAGCAACATTTTTATCACTGTGTTGAACACAGTACATAATTTAACTTCCTGTTCTTTTAAAAAAATATATGATATAGCAACATGTAGAATGACTTTATCCTCAAAACTTACAGGAAATAAAATCTATATTTCCCCAATTGGTAAAATATTTTAGCTACTGCATATTCCAGGATATAGCAATAAGTATGCACAATTATTCTAATTATACACCAACCTCAMTAGTTATTTAATATATTTATTATATATTTATTAATATATATATCCAACACAATATATCCAAAACAACTCAAAGGAGTAGACAGTATTTCATCACAGAACCATTTGTTGAAGGAAATTTGTAACCTTCCTAGTTCAGTTCGCAAGATTAAAATTGCATTCCATTGTTCATCTCAAAGCAAGATATGTTGTTGGCAATTTCAGGTTCAGTTGAAAATTCAGGAACAAATTCTGCCATCAGCTATTTGAACTACTGTAGTTCATTAAGAATTTAATAATAATAAAAATAAAATGTTTTTCTATTTAAGGTTAATTACAGGGTCACTTTCAGAGAGCAACTTTAAAATACTTACCCTCAGTTCATTGTTTGTGAGAGTAAAGGTTTTATTTGAAAAAGTATCCATAATCAAATGATAAGTTATGTTGTTATTAGGAAGAGTTCCATCCTTATCTGTGCATGTTAGAGAGACTAAAAGAGTTTCAGATGGGATGTTTTCAGGAAGTTCAATTCTGTAATGAGTAAAACACAAGAAAAAATGTGGTATAACATGTTAATCAAGATTTATGAAGATGATAATATTTAGCATAAAAGATGTTTTAAAATGTGTTCACCGTTTAAATAACCACTTTTCCAATAAGAAAATCATAGTGTTGATAAAGAATTGTATAATAAATTATCTGGCATTTTTGTTGAGGTCAAAGAAATGAAGTATTATCATGTTGAATAAATAAGCAGCAAATTAGTAAAATATACATATTATTGAACAAAATGACAATTTGTACCCTGTAGCAGATACCATACCATTGTCTTCATTTTTAAAATAAGGAACTGAGAATACCTTGCTATTAAATTTACAGGAGGGTGAGCTGGAACTGTTGATTCTGACCAATATTCATATTTCCCTCTGTATGTCCCACTTATAGCTCCTGCACTTGGCTTATATGGAGTCTACTGGCAAGTGAAATGCAAAGGAAGACTGTGCATCAGCTCTAGGTAAGATAGTTACAATTTGGAGTACTTTCCACATGTTCTCCCTCCCTTCTGTCCATGTGGTGGAGAGCAAAAGGGAATAACATTGCAAAGCAAAATTACTGAACAAACTGGGATCCCTGAATCAGTGTGGAGGAGTGCCAACAGTATGGCCAACAGACCTACGYTGTTCTTCCCATAGGAGGCAAGGACATGCTTATTAAATTTAGCCATTGATATGTACGTTTTAATTCATTAACAGCAATTAAGTGGAAAATATTGTGATGAGTTCAAATGACTATAATTGTATGTTTTCCTCAGATGTCAAAAGGTATTATTAATTTAATCATTGAAAATACCTTAGTACTAAAAAATAATGAAATAAAAGGTGAATTTTTTAATTTGTTAACGTGAAGAAAGTTCTGGAAACTAAATTTTATAATATTCCTTCAATAAGAATCTATAGGCTACTAGCTGGAATAGAAAGAGAAGGGAAGCCAGGCRCAGTGGCACAGGCCTGTAATCCTAGCGACTCTGGAGGGTGAGACAGGAAGATCTCAAGTTCAAAGCAAGCCTCAGCAAAAGTGAGATGCTAAGCAACTCAGTGAGACCCCATCTCTAAATAAAAATACAAAATAGGGCTGGGGATGTGGCTCTGTGGTCAAGTACCCCAGAGTTCAATCCCTGGTATCGTCACCCCCTGCCAAAAAAAAAAAAAAACTGAAAGGGAACTACTACAGAGTGTGCAGAAATATTGTTTGTTATTTCACTTTTTTTTTTTTTTTTTAGCAAAACAACAGGGACAAAAAGTTTACAAAGTAAAACTTGATTCTTTTTGAACCTTAAATTTATTTTTTACCTGGTACATAAAAACATGAAAATGATACATATTCATGAGTACTGCGTGATGTTTTAATATATGCATACCCTGTGCAATGTTTAAACATATCTGTCACTTCAAACATTTATCATTTTTTATGGTGAAAGCTTTTGAAATCCTTTCTTTCAGCTTTTGAAATTCACCGCATGTTACCATTATCTATAGTCACCCTGTTATGCAATAGCACACCAGTACTTATTAATTTAACTGAAACTTAGTACCTGTCTATCAGCCTTTCCTTTCTGTCCTCCCCACTGCTGTGTCAGCCTCTAATAGCCACCATTTGACTATTGACTTCTATGAGATGGTAAAGGTTTTGAATCTTGAAGTACAACAGAGCAAAGACACTTTTTTCATATTTGGATTTTTTTATTGTTTTATTACTATAAGATGATCAAGTACATATCTGCATTTTTTCCACAAAATATTGTTTAAAATGGGAGATAAGTAATTCGAGGGCAAACTATCCAAAACCTTTCATAACATATAAAATATCATTTCTGCTTTTAAAGTGAAAATCCTGGCAAAGCAGGAGCTTCCCTTTCAACACTTACAGGACTATCTAAATTTTATTGCATGTAGTTGACATTAATCCCATCCTGGTGACCTTTTGATGCTGGAAGCACACATTTTTATGGTTTCCTCAGGTTTTCTATATATGAGTTAAAAATTTGTAATCCAAAATCTGAAATGCTCCAAAATCTGATAACATATGAGCACTCAAAGAATTTCMGATTTTAGAGCACTTGTTTTTATACATTTTTTTTGAGAGCAAATAAAAGCAGATCCACTTGTTTCAATGAGGAAAAATAAAGAGAAGCTGCATATTATCTGAAAATAAGGCRAGAAACGAATGAAGGGCTTCTGCTTCCACCAGGGATGGCATGATGGTTACTCTTTATTTCTCTCTTTCATCTCTGACAAAATTTGAATCTCACATAATTGCTCCTGTAACTTACGTGTAAATATCCTGTGAGCACTGAGGTGGATTGTCATTCACATCTTGTAGTGTCACTGTGAATGACCCAGTTGTTGAATGCATCCGTTTGTTGTCATAAGCTCTAATATATAATACCCAAGACTTTGGGGTGGCTACATCCTCATAATCCAAAGGATAGGCAATTGTGACCTCTCCTGAATCTAAAAGGCAAGCAAATGAAAAGGTATTCAGCATTCACAAGATGAATAATTTATGATTTTAAATAATGGCATGGATAAAATAGTTCTAGGAACAAAATAAAGGTCAGTTGTTGACCTGTTGTAGCTCCCAAGTGAGTTACATACAACTTTGGATTTGTGAAGAATGGAAGTTGGATAAGTGACAGGGGAAGAGAGAAGCCTCCTGAGCTGTGTAGATCAGATGGTATTTTGYGGAAGGGTTGTGAGGAGTACACTGTGAAGCCTAGGCTGAGTGTGGAAAAATGAGCACAGAAATCGAGAGAGAAGATTGGGGTGGCTTGGATGTGGCTAAGTGGATGTGTGTGAAACTGTGGATAGTACACTGAGAAAAAGAACAAAAAGAAAAATTGATATTGATTTAATTAGGAACTGTTTTTTAAATCATTTTTATTGTATCTACATTTTCAGAGCATGTAACATGTACAATACACTGTCTCCTTTATAAACAGTGTTTTTTATGCTAAATGTAAACACATACTTGATGCTTGATGTCGTTTCTTACGTTGATAGCTCTCCAAGCATTTTGGATGTCGAGAGTACTTTCCCTAATGAATTCTTGAGGAAAAACTATAGGCATAATATTTCTTTATTGATTTCACCTTCTGAAAATTTTATCTGCTATCTTGATCTGTGAAGTCATTTTGCTGGATATAAATTTTCAACTCTCATTTTGTGTTTTCATGTTTCCTAAGTATTTTCCTTCATTCATTGATAGAAAAAAATGTTGTAAAAAGGTTTGTTTACAGTATGATTATCATTCTCTTATAAGTGACTTAGGCTTTTTGCCTAAAGACTCAAACACTTTTCTTAACATCTAAGTTAACATCTAATAATATACTGGAATGTGTTTCAAATTYAGTCATTCTGAGTTGATTTTCCCAAGAACCTCACATTTCTCGTAATATGCAGCTTCAAATCTCTTATTATAGGAAATATATTCTTTTTCCCTGTTTTCTTAAAGTTGCAGAATAATTACRCATAATAGTGAGATTTGTTGCTACATATTCATATATGCACAAAAGATAACAATATTTGGTCAAAGTCATTCCCCAGTATTTCCCCTTTCCCTTACCTTCTTCCTCGCCCCTTTCCTCTATTATACTGATCTCCCTTTTTTCTTGCTTTTTTTTTTTCTTTATCCTCTCTAGCTTCCATAGAGAGAAAACATAGGACTCTTGACCTTCTGAGTTGGCTTATTTCCCTTAACATAATGTTCTCAAGTTTTATGTGCTTTCCTGCAAATTACATAATTTCCATTRTTTTATGGCTGAATAAAACTCCATTATTGTAAATATGTCACATTTTCTTTTTTAGAAAATTTTGGTTCATGTAGAATTTTATTTTTTTATTATTTTTTTAAAGGAGAATGGGAGAAAAGTTTATTAGGTTTGCTACTCAAAATAGTAAATATCATGGATATGGGAAATTAAGTTTAATTAAATATCTTATTCCCTCATGTATGCAAAGTAAATGAATGATTATTATATAGATTTTTTTTTAATATTTCTTTGATAAAGGTTTTCGGAATGTTATTCTTGGCTCTCAGGCACAGGCTTTTGATCTGGTTAAAAGTTTTATGACAGTTATGAAACAAAAATTGAAAGAAAGACACATAAAGTTCTTCCTTAAAGAGTCAATTTTTTCAAAAAAAATAATAGATTTTTGTACTATTAATATCAAATGTTTTAATTTGTTCTATCTTATCATTATAATTAATCTTCATATAAGAAAATGAAAACCTAGGTGCTTTCCATAGTTAATTTAAAATTAAAAAACTGATACACTGATAGAAGAACAATTTCAAAATTCATAGCCATGAAAGCCTACTTTATCCATTTATCCATTGACGGACACCCAGGTTGGCTTCATAATTTGGCTATTGCAATGTGTGCTAATATAAATATGGTATACATGTATTATTATAGTGTGACGATTTAAATCCTTTAGACCAAAAATTGTTATAGCTGGGTCTTTTGGTTGTTCCAGGCTGAGTTTTAAGGAACTTCTGTATTGATTTCCATAGTGGTTGTGCTAATTTACACTCCTACCAACAGTGCGAAAGTGTTCCTTTTTCCCGCCTCCTCCCTAGCATTTATTATTATTTCTATTCTTGATGACTGCCATTCTGATTAGAGTGAGATGAAATTTTGGTATAGTCTAGGAATGTATTCTTGAATGACACTTTTATTTCTTGGGTCTGTTGCTTTTGTTTGCTTCCTCAGGAATTTGTAGAATATGATTTAAAGCATTGGCTTTTCTCTGCCTATCATCAACAGCTATAATTTTTTTTCATTTTTATTTTAAATATAATATTAGATTTTTAAATACAAATAAACCTGTATAGAAGGCTTTTGTTCCTGAATAATCTGAGAGTAAGTTGCTAACATAATGCCTCATCTTCTGAATTTGTTTTTTTAGAGAGAGAGAGAGGAGAGAGAGAGGGAGAGGAGAGAGAGAGGGAGAGGAGAGAGAGAGAGAGAGAGAGAGAGAATTTTTTAAATATTTATTTTTCAGTTTTCGGTTGACACAACATCTTCATTTTATTTTATGTGGTGCTGAGGATCGAACCCAGCACCCCGTGCATGCCAGGCGAGCGCATAACCACTTGAGCCACATCCCAGCCCCTCTTCTGAAAAATTTAATGTATATTTCCCCAAATATACATGATACAAGCATCAAAGGCAGGAAGTTAATATCAATACATTTAATTCTGAGAGTCTCATTCAAATTTCACTGATTGTCTCCATTTTTTAATAAAAAGAAAATCCAGTTCAGAATGTTACACATTGTCATGTGTTGTTAGTCAGTTTCAACTTTTTCAACTGAAAAAAAGTTGTTAAAGTCTTCCCTTGAGTTTTACCACCTTAATCCTTTGAAAGATTTTTAAAAATAGCAGTTTTGGAGAATTTCCCTCAGATTAGGTGAGCCCAAAGTTTTCTCAATTGATAAAGGTTTTAAAGCTTTTGATTAAATACCACAGAAGTTATACTTTATTCTGTCAGTTTGTTTCATTACTAATCATGTCCATCTTAATTACTTGACTAAGCAGGCATCTGCCAGTTTACTCCATTCCAAAGTTACTGTTTTGCCTTGTGCAAAAATATTGTGTGGAGAAGTATTTGAAACTACATAAGCATCCTCTAGCTCATCAAACTGTCATGTTTATTTGCATATTTATGTCTCTGTGGACTATAGTATCCCATTTTATTTATGGGTTTTAATATACAATAAACTTACTTATGTTTATTTATTTATTAAATATGGKTTTTWTTAGTTGTTCATGGGCCTCTATTTTATATATTTGTATGTGGTACTGAGAATCAAACCCAGTGCATCACACATGCTAGGCAAGCACTCTTCCACMGAGCTACAACCCCAGCCCTATTTATTTTTATTGATACATAATATTCATAGATCTTTATGAGTACATTATGATAATTTGATATATGCATACAATGTTTAACAACCAAATCAGAGTAATAAATATTTTTATCTACTAAAATCTTAATCATTTTTATGTTTGGGGAACTTTAATACACCTATGGTCTTATTATTTGGACACAAATCACACTGTTGTGACCAGTGATTATTCTACTGTGCTGTAGAGAGCCAGAACTAATTCTTCCTACTACCTACCTTTTGGTACCTCTTAATCTCCTTTTCAACTCCCATCCTGTGTCCTTCCAAGTCTCTATGACCTGAGAACATGCATTATCTATCTTTTTGTCTCTGGCTTATTTCACTTAACAAAATGATATCTAGTTTTGTCTATGCTGTTGCAAATGACAAGATTGCAAACTCTTTTAGAATGGAATAGTATTTCATTGTGAAAATATACTGCACGTACCTCATCCTTTCACCCATTGGTGAACACCTTGGTTGATTCTATGCATGATTATTTATTTTGATATTCCAATGGTCCTAGCATTTTCAAAATATAACCAATTTTGTCTAATTTCTTCACCTTATTGACATTCCTTGTTATTGTTTGAGTAGGTTCTTGCACGTTTGTTCATCCTATATTTTAACTGCTCTAGTCTCAAAAGGAACCATTCCTCTAAGGAGTTCTTGTAGGGAAATGGGACCTAGAGGTCAGTATCTGCACACAAAGTATACTTTTGCTATTGTGACATTGGGGTTCTTAAACTCTTTCAATCTTATTGTAGACACAGGTACAGAATGTATGTATGTGTGTATACACATGTAGTTATGTCAATATTTTTTGTGTATCTGTGTATGTTATGTATAGACACATATATACAAATATGTATATTGAAATGCATATATTCACTCTGATACCTTCAAATTTTAATTCATCCCCACCCACATGGTTTTCATTTTCTATCTTAATAATTCATCTCTCCTATAGGAGTGTCAGCCTTTCCTTAATGTAGGTAGCAATCCCCCTGTATGTAAACTACTGTCCTTTCTCTGCTGCCATCTCCCTCATACCCAGTTCAAGGACCCTTCTTCCTCTCCACTTAAACTGTGACTTGCCATACCTAGCCACCCTTCCATGGGTCATCTTCCCTAACCTCAGATTCTGAGCCCCTACATGGTGGTCTTTCTATTGATATGGTAGACCATTTATATTTAATCCAATTATGTGTATACCCTCTTTAAAAGATGAGAAATTTTTCTTTCTTCCTCCTCCTTGCTTTATACCTAAATTGTTAGAGGCATGAACTTCTAACTTCCAGTCATGTGAGATGTACTCAGAGTTACAAGTGTCACAATCAAGCAGATTAAATTCACTACAGGTCTTCTAAAGAAATTAATCATATGAGTTTGGCTAAATTAAAACTCCTCTCCAGGAGTTATATGATAGATGGGGGTTAGGACAGTAAAACCCCAATGGAGTTATTATGCATGCAAAGTCCTAGAAGAATGTATGATATAAAAATAAATATTCAATTTATGTTAACTAGTATTCTGGTTTCCATGGGAAAGTTTACTTCTCAGAGGAAAACTATACAATAAAATCCTAGGGAATACTGTTATGGATCTGAATTGTCTGAGAGTTTCCATACTTCTGAGAAGGAAGAAATGATTACTTGTTACTTCATAGAAATATGTAAATACACTGCTAAATATTTTGAAGATGTTTTCATCCTAATAGAATGATAATCAGGCTTATTTTTAGCTAGTGAAAAATACATTATATTATACTTTCTGAAATGATTAGCCACAAAACTTTTTTTTACCTTCATTTATAGAAAATTCTTTTTGTGTACCTAGAAATTCATAGTGTACTGAGTCCCCTATGTCTCTATCAGTTGCTGTCAACTTGACCAGCATTGTTCCAACAGGCAGATTTTCATAAATATTTATAGGTGCATCTGGTATGTATCTGTGGGACAAAAGAGATTTTTTTTTATCATTCAGTATAAACAAATGTCTCTTTTCATCTATGTCATACAACAAATATTTTAAATTTCTTTTGATACATATTTTGTACCATTTTAAAGCCAMTGGCCTTAAATAATTTGTAGATTATTATGTATGTAGGGAATGCTTATATATCATAAATGATCTTATAATATTTTTTCTTCTTCTTTTCTTTTTTTTTTAATTTTTTTACCTAAACTCTTTCTCCAGTYCTTCCAATAACTAGTAAATTATACTGTTTTCCAGATGATAAAATTCTACAAACACTCTAGCAATCACATTTTCATTTCATATGTTTGGAAATATTTCAATATCAGCAAGAACTTATTGCCCAAATTCTCTTGAACTGCCACATTGATTCACAATATGAACATATCTCTGAGTTTTCTGTAATATTTTACATATTAAAGATAATCAGCAAGAAAATAGCAAATGTTAAAATCTTTTCCACCAAAGTATTATTTCTCTTTGTAGTGTTGAAAGCAAAGTAGAAATGGAGTTGATTTTTAATCCTTATTTAAAAAAGCAATAACAAAGAGTTCATAAAATTTTGATTTCTAATAATTTTAAGAAAATTATAATAGAAATAGTAAAACATTGATATTTTAACTATTAAAAAAGTTTCAGTGATTTAATCATAGCACTTAAATATTTAGATTACTCATTGCTTACGTAAGAACAGGACTCTCATCATTAACATTCTGGATGTTTATAGTGATGGTGCCAACACATGACTCCACAGGGAGGTTCTCCTTATTCCTAACAGCAATTACAAACTGGAAATGCTAAAATAAACAAGAGAAGAGAGTACATCTTTATTTTTTTTTCCTTGAGTACTTAAAATATGCATCTTCTCCTTCATAAAAAGTTCTTTAAAAATAAAACAGAAAAAAAACACTTTAAAAAGCTMTTAGCATAAAAATGTAGCATCCCAAAAACACTTTAAAAGCATTTCTAGAAAAGAACATCTCTTGTATTCTCATGCAGATTCTGCAATTAATGCTAACTTCACAGTTGTTATGAAACTGAGGTTAAATTTTTGATAGTTTTCAGCATACCACAATAAGGAAATATGTCCAATTTAAATTTGTTAAAATATCAAAATACTATAACAAATTAGAGTAAATAAATAAATTTTTAAAATAAATAAAATATCAAAATAAAAGTAACTTTATTGTTTAGAGAAAAATCTCTGAAGCTCAACAACTAACTTTTAGAAAATACTGACTGAAAAGCCTCAAATTTTTAGAAACTTCAGAATAGAAGTTTTATTTAAAGAGGTAACATTCCAATACCATAAACAACAAAGAAGTGTAGTCTAAAGAGGTAATACCTAATTTTGATGAAGTCAAAGAAGGATTGTAATTTTTTGTTTTATTTTTAAATTTAATTTTATAATGTTATATGTATATGCAAAACGTACTTTAAAATACATTTAATCCACAAAATTGTAACTTTTCAGCTTTCTACTTCAGGAATATTTTAAATAAGTGAGAAGAAATTGAAGATCACAGATATGAATATTCTAAAATTTGCATGAACAACAATATATTACCTTTAAGCAAATTATTATTCAGAAAAAATCCACGTATAAACTATTTGTTTAGAAATAAGGTATAAAAATGTATAAAATAGAGATAAAATACACAATTAGGAAAAAAGTAGGAGAAAACTAAATATGTGGTACTTAGAAGTAAAGGTAAGAGTTGCAACACAGTACTTGGAAAACAAAAATAGTATTTTTGAACAAATAAATCTGTTGCCTCTTAATGTTTTGAATCTTAACAAAACATTGGAAATTGGTAGCTAAAGTTAAATGTTTTCATTCAAAAATTATTTCTCAAGTACTGACTATTTGATGCAAGTGTAATATACTAGAGATAAGAATTATCTTATAAAGATTAGAAATAACCTTAAGTGTGTAGGAAAGCATGTCTAATCGGGAAGATTGACATGTAAATCAAAGGAAGGTGAAAGTTGATCAAGTGCAATTTTGCTTTTAAATCAGATTGAAGTAYAGAATAAAATAGTTTTCTGTAATCCTTCAAAAATACTACTGAAATGATATTGTAATGGGAAAGAAAAAGTGGGGGTAGGGGTGGGGTATTGCAGGTGAATAGTGATCACATTAAACATCTCCTCTGAGAATTGTCAAGGCATGAAAATAACATATGGATTTCCCAAAGGCCACTKATGCCAGAGGCATGTCTTACAGAGTCAAATGGTAAATACCCTTTGGAAGAACAGCTCCTCAACACTGTCCAAACAGCTGTGGGGAATGGGGGTAGAGGGGCCAGCCAGAATTCAAGTATCAAATGAAACTAAAATATTAAGTGAATGAGCAGTCAATATTGAAAACGATCTCAAATGGGGTTGATTATGTGCTAAAACACAGGATGGTGTAATAGTAGAAAATATGTTTAAGTAGCTTAGAACTTTAATAGATGAAAGGAAAATGTAATCATTAGAACAAATGGAGAAAAAAAAGGTATATAAGTCAAAATCAAACTCTTGATTTTTTAAAAAAAAACTCTTAATAAAAGAAAATTTCATTATTTAAAAAGATTAACTGTATCCTACAACAAATAGCATTCCAATTTGAAACATTTAAACAACGTTTTTGAAAATCATGACAAGATAAGGATTCTTTCTTATACCATTTCTAGTGAACTTTTTTTTCCCCCCTGGAAATTCTTATCAGAACAAGAAGGCTTAAAACAAATAAATTAAAATTGTAAGGATTATAGAGAAAGTAGAAACTTTTATTTTCAACAAGCCCTTTATGAATGTTGACACATAAAAAATGAAAAATCACCAAGACAGTATTAGAATCAATAAAAGGATTTTGAGATTTGCTGTCTTTGAGATCAGGAAACAAAAACCAATAGTTTTCTATACAACTATAAAGAACAATTAGAAAATGGATATTTAACAATAAAATGAAGGGTGGCTAAGAATGCTATACAAATAGTATGAAAAATCTGGATAAATATAAAGTCTTATTGAAAATTTAAACAAATTTTAAATAATTCTCAATGATGCTTTAAAGATGATGAGATGCCATTATACTTTATAAATTCAATGCAATTAAAATCAGAATGTCAATAAAAGAACAAAAATAATAAAGGTAATTTGTGTCTTTAGGAGTGAGTGAAAAACARCAAAGTTGACTATATGACACAAGAGCCTATAATACCAGAATGAAAAGTAATTTTATAAGTGGCTAACCAGATGTCTTGGTCTTAGAGAAATGACTGGATTTGTTTGTTTGTTTTGTTTTTTTGTTTTGTTTTTCTTTTACTCCTACCTGATGAGAAAAGTTCTGGCCAAAATTTTTGCAGTTTAGGAAGTCAGTATCTAGGTAAGATTAGAGAATAAAGGGGGGGGGGGCTTGATAGTTTTACTGGAAGCATCATTGAGAATTATTTAAGAAACTGGAAAACGTTTGAAATTGAAATGATTCCATTTCTCAGAACAAGTTGGTAGGGAGAAGTGATTTATTATGTTTCTCCATCTCCTTATACTTTTCTCTTTCGCAATCTTTTTTTTTTTAATTTGAAATTTGACCAGGGCAATGAGGAAAAAAGAGGTTAGGTCTCTACAATCAAGTAAAGTCAGACAGATGCAGTTCTCCAGATAATTCAAAACTAAGAAGTATGATCTCATTAGATTACACAGAACATTGTCTCAGTTCTAGGCTTTTGAATATAGAGAGGATCCCTCTTCCAACTTTTACACACACCCATAGAAGCACATACAACAATTGAGATATTTTTAAAAGGTCTAAGAAAAAAGTAAGATGAATCAATTAACTTTTTCATCAGTTATCTTAATGAGAATTTCTACATGATCTATGTGAATATGAAAAGGCAATTACATAAAATTTGGTATATTTTTATTTCAATTTAGATGTTTCAATAATTATTTTCATTGAAAAAAGTATTTAAAGGCATTTGTTATTTTAATTCTCTATTTTATATTTAGTCTCACCTTAGGATTTGTTTCATAGTCCAAAAGAGGTTCAATGGTTTTAGAAATGACACCATTACGTGAATCCAAAGCAAAGTAGGCAGTGGCGTTACTTGAAGAATTTAATATTAGAAACTTAAAGAAAAAACACAAACATGGTAAATACATTATTGAAAAAGCGTGAATTTTGAGCTGACAGTTTTGATGCAGATATTTGGCCAGACCTATATAAAAATTAGGTTTGTAAAAACAGTGCCCATAAATTAAATCTGAACCTACTCTCAGTTCCAGACTTCAAAAACAATTTGAACATTCTTTTCGCATTTTAACTGTACTTTTTCCATTGGTTTATGTGCTTAAGTACTAGAGCATTTTTGTAAATATCTGTCACTGTTTTCATAATTACTTTCTAGTTTCACATATGCAGCTTTTTCCAATTTAAAAAAAAAAATGTCACTCCCTCTTGTATACTCAGGAAGTGTATCTAAAGGAGGTACATGCACTGAAATACTTGGAAGAAACCATTTGATCTCATCTCTGTATTGATTTTCTATATGGAAAAAATAAAATATTGCTTTGGAGACAAAGATTTTATGGGCATAAGCATGTTCCTGTACATTGATGTCACCCATGCCTATAACTGGGCATGGGTTCAAGATAAATATTAAAGATTTTGAAAAGAATTTCATAGAGAAGCTAAATTATGAAAAATTTACATCAGATTCTGGCTTAAAGAAAAAGAATAAAACTTGGAGATGTGATATCCAATGCCATTTCTAAAAAGTCACAATGGCCATTTTGACGGGTGTAACSGCTTACATTTTATTGTCTGTAAGTGAACAACTAAAGTTGGCTTATTTTAGAATAAATTCCACTAAATATTCTTGTGGAAAATTTTTTTTTTATTTCTCCCCTTACTTTTATGGTTTTGAATTGTTAAAAATTATCATCTTCCAAGTATTTGTTTCTCTTTTATAATGACTTTTGCAATAAAATCCAAATGTTATAAATTTTACTTATGTAATATACATGTAAATACATAATTATAATTTATATTTATGGAAACACCAATTCCACACATAGCCTAAACCCTCACAAAAAACATATATTTCAAACGCATAAGACCCCTATCTTCTGTCTTTTTCCCTCCTGAAACACATACTCACACAATGGAGGATCTGAACCTGTAAACAAGGAATTTCATTTTTTTCCTGTGTTGTCTTCTATCCACCTTCTAAATTCACATGAACAAAACATGTAATCGAGTATACTAATCAATGCCTCATTAAAATTGGGTCACCATAAAAATTACATATAGGCTTAATTCTCYAGAGATCTGCTCCTTTAAACTTTAGTTTCAACTGAATTCTCAAGTCATGTTTATAAGCCAGTATTTTTGCAACAATTATGAACAAATAGGAAACAATGTAAGTCTCTTCTATGGAGAATTAGAGTTGCTAAATTTAAGGCAGAATGTTCTAATGTATTAATATGATTTATAATGTATAATCAAGAATCCAGTTGTTTTCTTAAAAAATATAATTACATTTAGGTCATATTGCACCATTAGAAATTTCTGAGAAAATGCAGTTATAAATAAATTATCTTAAATTTTTTCTTTACCTCCTCTTAAACTGTAACCATGTTGTCATCTATCACTTATGAATTTTCTATTCTTTAGGAATTATTGCTGAAACCAGAAATAAGGGGGAGATCTAAAATGTCCATTATTCAAATTACATGTATAAGAAGAAAATATGCCTGATTGGAATGAATAAAAGAAAATAACAATGAAATGACATGATTGAAATGAATATAAAAAATAATGAAAGGACATTTCATTAGTGTGTAAATCTGCATTAGGTGACTACTATAGTTAAAAAGCTGATGAAATAAATTTTTGCTGATTAAAAATTAGACACTTTTAAATCAAATTTTTAAAAAAATTAATAACCGAAAGTTAAAAACTTACTTCAACTTCTTGTCCTATATCTGGGTCCCTTGAAAGAATCATATATATAAAAGCAGATGCAGGAATATTTTCAGGAACAGACACTGAAACACCTATTAAATCACCAAAATCATGAACAAAATTTTAAATTCAAACATTCTTTGCCTCATATGGGTGTGATAAGTCTTCATGCTGTAAAAATTTCAACTTCAGGTTTTTGTTTGTTTGTTTTTTGTTTTTTAKACAGAGTCTTTTTATGTTGCTCAGGCTGAGCTGGAACCCCTGGGCTCAACTGATGCTCCTGTCTCAACCTCCTGAGTGCTGACACTATATATGGTTTATGCTCCCATGTCTGGCTTTCAAGCAGTTTTCTTAAYACATTTTCAGAAAATTAAAAATATTTATTCACATGAACATCTGTATTTTTTAAATCAACATAGTTCCAATTCATATTTCTAAATTTAAATGTAGGGCTAGTGTGTGGAATGGGATGTAATTGCTCAGTGCTTGCACAACCTCCATAGTCTCTAAGATATTTCATCTGGGATTCTTATATGTTAGAAGGTTGAAGTTTTTATTCTGTTCCACAATAATGTTCACAATGTGGAGCCAGGTAGCAAAGTCAGAAGAAATGAGCTTGAATTCCTGCTTCATCAGTATTCTCATCTGGACAATGCAGATAAAGTACATTTCCAACTTCAGAGTAGTTTTGAAGACTAAATAAAATACCATACATAAATATCTTACAACTGCTACTCTCATTTCCCCAAACATTTCTTATTTTACGTCCAATGTTACCATTGTGATTCTCTCACCCCARAATCAAATAACACAGATGCATGCACATTTAAATCATTGGTAGTTTCTTTATCTAGGATTCTCAAAAAGTCTCAGTCTTGGATATAAATTAGGTGGTTCTGCAAAAGCCTCATATTATTTGACTATTTCTAAGGATGTTAAGGAATATTTTTTATGTTAATGGAACTAACTCTTTTTGAACTTTTGTTTCAAATTGAACATATATAAACAGATTCTCTAACTTAATGGTTTGCTCTGTGTTAATTATAGAGAAATAACAAACCACAGTCAGGTGAACATGTGTATCAAACCAACAACTTGAAAATCAGATCAACACCTTTTCAGAGAGGCATTTAGTTACCCTGTGTTTCATAGAAAGTAATTTTCCCCCACTATCCATCCATCCCAAGGACACAGCCCACATAATGGAAAAGAGGGCATCATGATACTGATAGTGTTTGAGCAGTTTGTGTTGGTTCAGCCAAGTCTGGTAGAAACCAGGTCAAAATGACCTTCATGGGATCCATGTGTATCTTTTTAAAACTCACCATAATTTGGGAAGACCGAATGGAAATTACAGAGAACATCCCATTGTTTCAAAGTGATCCAAAAGATACTATCTTCACAAACATCAAACGGAAAGCTGGCTCATTGCCAGAGCTCACCTAGGTGACTTCTCTTTTAGCCTGAGAACAATCCCTTTGACATAAATTCCTATTTCAGACATATTTATTAATATCCATAGCAGAAGGTATGTTTTTGCCCAAAGCAAGAAGTGTGTATGTGTGTGTGTGTGTGTGTGTTTTAGAAATTTTGAAATTTCAAAAGGTGATGCTTCTGTGGACAGAGAAGAGGGAACACTGTGAGAAGTCGCTACACAGCTGCAATAGACAGGCACTGGTTGGGGGARAGAAGGGGGAGTGTTTTAATGAAGTTTGCCTTGTTCCTCTTGACTTCAACTTTCAGTTTCTCCTAATAGAAATAGGGAGAGAAAGACAAGCACTCAAACAGAAAAGGTAAAAGGAGACAAATAACAAAGTGGCTAAGTGTAATATGACAAATAACGAAGTGGCTACGTTTAGGAAAAAACAGAAAAGAAGAGAGAACAAGCAGAACAGATATAATTATTGAGATCCAGTTGACCCAACTAAAATTAAATCAAGCCAATCTGTTTCGGAGCTCCAGTTATGTGCATTGTCTAAATACAGTCAAATGTTTAAAAGAGTTTATTTTTAGAAAGCCTTCATGAAAAAGAAACCAACACACATAAGGGTGAGGTTAATGAATAGTATATGAGGCTCTGAATTATGTAGCACAAAGTATAAGAACATATTTCATTATTTTATATATAAAGGTATACAGATTCCAGTAATTCTCTTTGGGGGGAGTAAGGCTATCAGATGTAATGACACTATTATATTAGTAATACACTGAGATTTTATAATTAAAGCTAAAGTTTTTTAATATAAGAGACATTAAAAATTAACAGTAGAGCCAGGCACTATGTGACTTGGTAGGCTGAAGCAGGATGATTGCAAGTTGGAGGCCAATCTTGGCAACTTAGTAAGAATCTATCTCAAAATAAAAAGTGAAAAGAGCTTGGGATATAGCTAAATGTAAAGTGCCTCTGGGTTCAATCCCCAGCACCCAAAACAAACACACAGAAACAAACAAACAAACAAACAAACAAACAAAAAAAGTCAGGCATGTTCAGACTAATTTACTGTACTCATACAAAAAGAAATGATTAAATAAAATAGCATATGTTTATAATTATTGGGGGGACAATGTACAATGACATCATTGTACAGAAAATTAAGCAAACTAAAGTGTGTATCATTGTCATCTCATGCCTATTATTTTTTAAAAGGTAATTTTTAAAGACTAGGTAGTAATTCATTAAAATATATACAATTTTTGGTCAATTTCCTATAGTTAGATATTTTGGTTATTTCAAAGTTATGCTTTTTACAAATTTTGCAATACATCTTGACCATGTTTTAATATTTTGGCAAAGATAAATCTAAGAAACAAATTCTGGGAGAAAGATTGTAATCATTTTTTAAAACAAATATTTACTACCATAATATTCTGTGTGGTTATTAAAAAATCCGAACTTAAAATTGCTAATTTTTCAATGTCTATATAACGTTAYCTTTTTTTCCTGTTATATTTATGTCTTGAACAATATAGTAGGTGAAAAATATATTTTGTTATTTATATTTTCTGGTATTTGGCATCTTTTAAAGACACACATTAATTTGTATGTGACAGATAAACTTAGAATAATTTTGTCATTTCTCCTATTCTCTATCTACCACACAAAGAAAAAAAATAACAATTTGAATATAGTGTTTTCTTTTCCAAAGCATGTTATATCTTGTATTCAGGATTTAAATTATTTTTAATAAAACTAAGGAAATTTGAACTACAATTCTAGGTTTTATTTTTAAATTTTACTGTTGTATCATTTCATATATTTTTTTAAAATAAAATTAACCTGTAATATACCTGCTCCTGTTGAAAAACTTGAGTCACAGGAAATAGGATCATCTATGTTCTCCACAAAAACTGTAAACATGTAAGTGTTGGTATTATTTCCATTATCTCTGGCCTCAATTTCCAAAGGGTAGGTTTTGGAGTTATTTGGGTTGTCAAGATTCAAAGGCTGAAGAAGAGTGATTATACCTTTAACTAATTAAAGAAATAAAGTAAAGAATTACCAAATCAGTAAGCTTATGTTAGTTTATTTATATTGATAATTTTTAAATTTATTTAATGATATATTTTTCTGTGAATGAGAAAAACAATTGTTAGCAATTATACATTCATTGGAAATATTTCTTTATTTTATAGTTTGCTTCTGCTTACTGTATGCTTATATTTTAAAATAATCATATTTAAAAATTGTTTCATCAAATTTTCCTCCAAGTTTGTAAATTGTCATTTATTTGTTTACAACTACTTGTAAAAAAAAGCAAACACAGACCATTGTATTTCATTTTAATTACAATAATAAATTGTTGCTAATGCTTTTGAACCTTAAAAATTAGTAAAAACATTTCGAAATCCTAATCATTCATTGCTTTTGCCTTTCAAATTAATCTCATTGCATAAAAAATGAAAAATGAGTTTAAAGATCAAACTAAAGAAAGTTTGCAAAGCATAAGAGACTATCCCTGCTGCCACCACCTACCTACTTCCTTCCCAGAATTCCTTCTTTTTGCTCTGGAATCATCTGGCTTAATCCTGAGTGTCTTTCTAACTCTCAAAGGCTTTAGTCTTGCCAAAATTGTCCTTAGCTAGTTTCTTCTCCCAATGACATTTGCATCTTTTAAAAAAATATTTTTTTAGTTGTAGGTAGACACGATACCTTTATTTTATTTATTTATTTTATGCGGTGCTGAGAATTGAACCCAGTGCCTCACATGTGCTAGGAGAGCACTCTACCCCTGAGCCACAACCCCAGCCTGACATTTGCATTTCAAAGACAGATGCATAAATTGGTAATAACTCTAAGAACTTAAATGAATGATCTCAAATGTTGGTTGATCAGTATGATGATTCTGAAATATGTCAACTCTTCTAAGCCAAATTTTATTTTCCATAATTCTAATTATTGTGTGTGTTTTGCTTCATGTGGGTCATAAGGGAACTTCTTGGCCAATGTGAAGGATGARGATAGCAGCAGTCCTTTTGTTCCTTACATATGTTTTGGCTGGTCCCCTTCATCACTGTTGGTGTAAACTAGCTAGCTGAGTCCGMAACTACCTGACCTGCTGTAGTTCTTCCAGTTTCTCTGACTTGCTGAACAGGTATGTGTGCTCAGCCCTGTGATGAAATGCCCCAGCTTTCATGAGCTACCAACAACACCCAGGTCAGAGACAATAAGAACCAATGTGGGTCTCAGTCCATACTTGTGGGGTCTATCAGATGCTTCTATGTTCTAGTCTACCCTTAACTTACCACAATTTATAGCTGTCTTCTCTTCCTGATTTCTTGCCTTGTKAACTTCAAGCTCTAGCATTATGTTAGAACAGCCTTTCAGAGAGTATTAAAGAAGCTCCCTCAGTGTATCCCTGGTGCTTCTGATTGTCTGCTTGAACCCACTATATAGAGATACGTAGTAAATGTTTTACTAATAAAATCAGTTATCTCAACAGCCTATAAGAAAATTTCAGAAAAGGAATCTTCTTCACATAGAAATCTATCCATAACCAAAAATGCTAATCAAATTATCCATGAAAAGTCCCAAACTCTACAAATAAAATTGAGATAATAATTATGACTTATGTGTCATATAGTTTTCAAGGATTTCACAGATGCCTTTGTACTAATTATCTCTGAAAAATGATGGCCACTGGGCTGGAGATGTGGCTCAAGCGGTAGCACGCTCACCTGGCATGTGCAGGGCGCTGRGTTCGATCCTCACCACCACATACAAATAAAAAAAAGATGTTGTGTCCACCAAAAACTGAAAAATGGATATTGAAAAATTCTCTCTCTCTCCTCTCTCTCTCTTTAAAAAAATGATGGCCACTTATAAAAAATTAGTTTATATCACCCATTATTTCATAAGAATGCCATTTTAACCAGTAGGAAAATAGCAATTATAAATGCCACGTTTTTGGTATGTGTGCTTCTCCACATTTAATTTTGAAAGGGTAGTTGAACCAGGCCAAGTTCTAAAAATGTATAGAGATATATAGTGAATGTTTAACCAAAGTAGGCTCCAAGAAATGTATCTAAAACTCACGAGGGTCCAAACCAAACATTTCCTGCTGAGTTTTAAAGGAATAAGTGATGCTGTTATCTTCATCTCGATCTGTTGCTTTTACTCTTGCTATAATTTCTCCTACAGGCTTCTTTTCAGTCACATTAATAGAATCCAGAGGAAATGGCCTTAAAGAAAGTTAAAGACAGAGTTGAAAAAAACAGTTGGAGAATTACAAATTTACAAATTCTTACACACATAAATGCAAGTTGTGACAAACTTTGAAGAAAGTTTTAGATTTGTGATAATACTACTTCCTCTTGTCAAGAATTGAAGTGTCACGGAGCTATCCAAATGTCGAGAAAATTCATTTGTGGCACAAAGTTACTTAGTTCCTGCAAAAGCACCAATTTTCAATAATACAGTCTCTGGTCCCTTGCCAGGCATCAAAGATACCATGACATAAAAGAGATGAAAAATGAAAAGCAGAATGGAATTATATAGTTCTGTTATTCCAGATATCTAACGTATGGAATAGTTGCCAATTGAACATAAGGTAATAAATATGGCCATTTTCATCTTATTATCTGGTATGATGAAATGGTAGCCAAAGTTGCAACTTATTAGAGCAACCATGGAGATGATTTTGGGATTTTTTTAAAAACTTCTAATTTTTTTTTCTTATTTTAAACACATATATATATATATATATATATATATATATATATATATATATATATATATTGTTGATTGATTATTTAATCTGTACTTTACGTAGTGCTGAGAAAATTTCCCAGTGCCTCATGCATGCTAGGCAAGCACACTACCACTGAACCACAACTCAGTCCTGATTTGGGGAACTTTATTACACACCTTTTTGAGTCATACTTAAAGTCCCTGATCATTCTAGGACATTTTTGAAACTTACATCTTTTTTCTCATTCTGCCTTCATTCAAGGCATCAAACACTTATTGATAATCTACCATATGTTATACTAGTTTATGCACAGATGACTAAGCCTTGCCTCCTAACACTCAAAAATCTCACTGCTAATAGGCAATACAGTTATAAATACCTATTATGCTATGTAATTGTTGAGATGCTAAGTTTGCTGAAAGTTTACAGAAAAGGGAAGACTGATTCTGGGGATTGGAGAGATTTTTCAAGAAAGTCTTCAAAGGAATGTAGTGTCTAAGTAAAGGGAAGTGAGTGAGTGATCCTACGTACTTCATCACCAAATCCAATGTGGTTCTTCCTTTATACCTCAGCATAATGTGACTCCTCATATTGACATTCTGAACCACTTTCAATAATTTCCTTTTCTATTTCATTAACTGTTWTTTAATGTATTATGTCTCTAAAGAGATGAAAAAAATGTGTTCAGGGATGACAATTTGGTAATCTTGGTATTGCTTTTATCTAGCATTAAATTCTAGTTATTTAGTAAAAGTAATAATAAATATGCTTACTCAAATTGAGGCTTCTCATCATTTATGTCTATAATCTTGATAATTAGTGTCCCTTGGCAGAACAGACCTGTTTTATCTGTTGCTCTCAGGGCAAGCTGGAAAACCTGGAAAAGAGTTTTTAGAAATTTTGTAATATACTATTTGGTAATTGGAAATACACATGTATTTTTACAGTGTGTCTCCTGTTAGGTTGTCCTTTTTCTCTCCAATTAGATATAGCTTTTTATTTTTCTTCCAGGTAGTTAAATAAAATATAAGGGCTTTCTTACTTAAGTTAGTAGTAAATTTCAAAATAGCTTCAATTTATATGGCATTAAATTTACTCAGAGGTCTGTATAGTTTGACTATATGTCTAAATATAGGAGCAACTAAACCAAAACTATGAACAAGTTTTAGATTCAATAATAAAYCCCAAATCTAATGCATTTGGTGGTAAACCCTATACAGGACAAGGAGCTACTCTGGGTTCCAGGACTTGCTRTAACTTCTGAAGAGCTGAGAAGCTTAACAAATCTCAAATACATTTCATGTCAGCCTATCATACATCTCAGTTCTTAGATATTTATTCTGATCATCAGCTGTCCCTTTGAAAACAAAAAYAATACACCACTGAGGCATTAAGAGTTCCACTATGAGCCTTTTCTGAGCAAACATTAAATAACTGCCCACAATGTCTGAGACTCTGTTGGGTAAACCCTACAGTGATTGTACCAAACTTCAATTTCTTGGATGGGTAATTCAGATCTCATTAGGGTACGTAGCAGAAAGTTGAAGAAGGAYTAAATAGAAAATTGATTGAAGTAAAGGCAGCAGTGGAAGTGAGGCAGGGGAGGGTTAGAAGTATACATCTGAAAAATACATAAATACATAGCTCTTAGGCATAACCTCCATTTCTTTTCCACCTCGTTCTAATYTCATATTGTATTCCTAGTACTCAAATTATTTAAAATCTATGTCACATTGGCCTCTCCGTTATACTCCAACATTCAACAAAACTAAATTATCTTTAAATACAATTCATCTGCTTTCTTCCATTTATGTCTTTCAGACAAAAATGTTGAGATCATCTTTAAATATTATCACTTCCTTCTCCCAAAAAAACTAATCAGCAATACATTCTCTGTTTACTGTAATGTTTTGCATCTTGCCTTTTGTCCCTTTTTCTTCTGTCACCTTATTGAATCATTACATATGGAGGCATTTCTGAGAACAGAAATGTTTTTACAATAATAATAACAATGGTGATGATGATAATAACATCCTCTATTTCTCAATTTTCACACCTAATTTTAATGTGGAGAGACTATCTCAATAGCCATTTAKCTGGTTTCTTTCCAATCAGCTGTTCCTACTTACATATCCTTTTTCACTCAAAAAAAAATCATCCTAAAAATGCTTTCCTTACATTATATTTCTCATAGAACTACCAGAAATATTCTTTCCCACYGTGTTAGTCTCAAGTTCATCATAAGGCTTATACTTGATCCTACCTTGGCTAATATTCTAAGTGAGGCAGGGTATGAATAGTCAGTTTCAATATGAAAACTTGACCATTTTAAGTTTCCTTCGTTTCCTTTGATATGCAGAAGGATTTAAATTTTAATCTAAAAGGTCAAGACACAATCAGTATGYTTTGCTAACAGTAAGGTTCAGATCTAGACTTTTAGTTAGCTGTAAAAATACAAGTGAATCTCAGAAAACACCACCCTTCTTTAAAATAAAAATGTACTTAGTTTTTCATGAAGAATTCAAAATTATTTCTAAAAATCCCTTTCACTCTGTATAGAAAAATAAATAAATATATTAATTACATGATATCCAGCTTCAAAGTCCAGGGGGTCTCCACCTTTCAAGCTAACAACACCACTTACAGGATCCATTCCAAAAGAATTTGCTCCTTCCGTTGGTCCAGATAACTGTGTCTCAATGGTGTACTAGAACAATAAAATATACCAAGGAAATAGACTATTCTTAGCATACAATAATATAGCAAATATAATTGATTTCAATTTTTCTTCATGATCTAGTTAGTATCAGAATCACTGATAAGTTGTAATTCACAGTACTGAAAAAATAATTCAGTTGTTTAGCCTATAAGCACAACGGAAACATCTGCTACTTTTTAATAGAGCTGCACAACACTCTTTATTTTTCTAAGGAAATTTTAAAAATATACATAATTCTGATTTTTCAAATTAATGCACCTTTGTTTGAATAACACATAATTAAACTCATCACTTTAAATTTTACAAAACAAAACAAGAATTATGAGTATAAATGAATTTCAAGTATTTCATACAGTCGAATATGCATTTTGTGATATATTTTATGTTCTTCATTTTACTTTCAATTTATTTGACACCACCTTTGAGGTGAGGGAGAGGCAGATAAATCTTTCCTTAATTTTTCCTTAATTTAACATAATAAATTTTGGCTACAAATGAGATAAAAATTCAATAAGAAGAAGCTCAATTACTTCTGTGTATTTCTTTTCAATTTAATTTGCATTCTATCMTTAACAATGTAATTATTTTTCAAAACACTAAATTTTAAAACAATCACCTTCTGGTACTTCTCGTGTTCCTGCAAATGACAGAGCTAGAAATAACTATTTTCAACTGAACTACAAGTTATTTTTTTAATCTTTTGAAAATATATCATCTAATGGAAAGGATCTCATGTTTCTTAACAATTTCATATCAGCTAGTCTACAACAAAATAATTTTTTGGAGCATTCCACAGGGATTTTGAATACTTTGACTGACAGCAAATACATTACTGAAGGTTAGGGAAAGAGAGAAAAAAATCTCTTACAATTGTGGAATCCAAGGGCAGGAGAGATTAAGTGATTTCCACAGGATCTTATCACTAATAGTGGTAAATCCATAACAGCCCAGGCAGCCAGCTGACAGTCCCACTGACAGTCCCAGCTGACAGTCCCACTGCCATTTGTATATTGTGCTTTCATTACTCCATACTGTGAGTTACTAAATTAGAAGGAGTAAACTACTTCAATACGTGTTCAAAAAGAACAGCTGCAGAGCCAGCGTGCTGACTTTTGCAGTTCAGTGCACAACTAAACTCCCCAGATAGAACTTTATGGATTATAAGTTCTTTTTATTTTGCCAACTCTTTAAGAGACATTACAACCATAAATTATTTATGAGAAAAGCAAGTTTCTTTGGATTAAATACTTAGTAATTAGGATACTGAAACATGTATGTATGTATGTATGTGTCTATACATAWAAATATTAATTTATATTTCACATGTGTTATTGACATAGAAAAGTAAAACCATTCTGATTGGCTTTCAAAAAGCAAAGCCCTAGTTTTCCCTCACCATGGATGTTTTCCTCTTAGCCCATACCTCCAGGATAAGTTACTTTATCATTTTCATATAGATTTCAAGAAACTAAAAATACCATTTCCAACATTAGTACAAATATTAACACTAAAAATTAACACTAAAATTAACACTAAAATTGCATTTTAGTGATTTCTAACTTCATTATATGCTCTTTAATTATCAGATTGTATCAACTACTCCCAAGAAACATCTCCAGTGCATTGCTTTGTCTGCTGAAGCAATACATGCATCTCACACAATGGAAGCCACGTACCATCAGCTGATCACCATTTGCAGAGTCCTCATCTGTGGCAATCACTCTATAAATTGATTGAAATAATGGATAGTCTTCAGCAATTTCCAAGGTAGCTGTGAGAAAAAAATCAACATAGTGTATTAAAAATTAAAGTATATTGTGCTTTCATTATCTCTTTATTTATTTATTTATTTATTTATTTATTTAGCCAACAGTGATTAAATCCAGGGGTGTTTTACCTGGATATAACTATATCTCCAGTTCTTTTCATTTTTATTTTGAGACAGGGTCTGGCAAAGCCTCTGAGATAGGTCTTGAACTTGTGATCCTCCTTTCTTAGCCTCCTGAGCCGCTGGGATTATAAGCRTGCTCCACCATACCCAGCAAGGGAAGTCTTTTTGATGTCTCAATAGAAGGCTTAGCAGGTTTGGGGAATGATCCCAAGGTCAGCTATCTCCAAAGAGTTGTTCCTAATGTTTTTTTATGGCTTATAGGTGCTTAGGACCTCCCAAGAGAAGGTSTCTTATTGAAGGTCATCAAGATGGCAAGTTGAGTAGTAGTAGCCTGGTCCTCTTCTTGGACTGTCTGGGCTAGTCCAGCCTGAAGATGTGCTGTCAGTGTGGAGTGCAGARTCTTGAAAGTCTTACAGAAACTGGTGGAGATGAGGAGTGAGTTCCTCCTGCCTCTTAGTGCTATCAAGTGTGATAACAGCAGGCTCTCATGGAAATGTAAACTAGCACAGACTTTTCAGTGGGCATATCAGCAATATACAAGGAGGAGTCTTTAAAAGAGGCCTATCTTATGCCTCAGCAACTYGTACACAAACTTATCAATTATACATTTGAGGTCTCAGCCTTTTCATTTGAGTCCACTGGAAGATTTTCTGACCAGAAATTGAAAACCCCAGCAGAATAAGGAGAGAAAAAGAAGTTGAAAAGCCCACTCCCCCATATACTCAAGTTCTTATCTCACTGAAGTCTTGCCATAACAGAACTTTTGGAAATAATTCTAGGAGGCCTATGGATTCCCTGGAGATTCATAGACTAGGTTCAAAGCACTGGTTACTGGTTAAAATGCTCTTTTCCCAGGTGGTGCACACCTGTAGTCTCAGCTACTCAAGAGGCTGAAGCAAGAGGATCACAAGTCTGAGGCCAGCCTGGGCAATGTGGCAAGACCATGTCCCAAAACAAAATAAAGGGCACGGGACAGAATTCAGTGGTATTAACACTTGTCTAGTATGCAAAGAGCCCTGTGATTAAAACAACTTCTTTCCCCAGTTCTACTGCCAAAGTGAGACAAAATATTTTCTTTCCTTTATGCCTTTACAGAGGGTCTAATTTAGCCGCCACCAAAATATGCCACAGTCACTGGCTTTCTGCCCTAACAGCCACCTCTCAACAGGGAGGCTTCACTAAGCCATCTTCATTGGAGTGGGCAAGGAGCTCTGGTATTAGACTCAAAGATTTTACTCTAAACAGAATACTAGGGTAGTGGTGCAAAATCGAATTGTGAGAGTCAAGCACCGAGATGGTTTACTGAGACACAAAGAGAACAAAAACCAAGAATCCTTTCCAGAGGTATCTGCTGAACCCTGGCATTTCAATTAGAAACCTGTTCTGAGGACACAGTTAGCTTTTCCCCAGAATGCTCCAGTGCTAGCAGGTAAATGCACAGAAGGGATTACAAGGGAAGACACAAGAAGCAGCACTTGATCAGCAACAAATTACCTGCCAATAGGTGAGGTTTTCTGAAGCTATGACTGCACACAGTGCCTTGTTCTCTTTCACATTTTGATCATCATTTACCCATGAAAGTATTTTCCCCAATCCCAGGATTCAAACAGTACTGACAGTTTAATTCTGCCTTATATTAAAAATAAAACACATTCAGCTTCATATGTTTAACAAAAATCAAACAGCAGCAAAATGGCTACAAAATGTTACTTCCAACAGGTTGGAAGTCAGGTTATGAGGGTATTTTGTTGTCTCAGTCACATGTAGGAGTTTTGTTCACTTAATTCTGCTTCTGAAATAAGCAACATCAAAATAGCCAGGAGTCAGCAATGTCCCATTTCCCAGGCATACTGCAGAGGGGCCCTTCTTCCTGGTCTTACTAAGGTTTCTCCTCCAAACTCTTCCACCACCTACCATCAGGTCAGCTCATGTCTGGGCACTGAAGCACATTAACCAATCAAGTACGCAGGGTCTGAGGCTTAGTCTTAWAGGTGACTCTCGAAGTGGGCACTGGGGCCTTTCTGTTCTCCATTAGAAGACAAGAGTGTCTCCTCTTATGAAGATGCTGGGGACGTGAGACCATGATGTTTGGGAAGTGCTGACCCAGACCAGACACCACAAAAGATACTTTGGCCTCATAAGTTCAGTCCAAAGCTGAGATGACCAGCTCGAGTCAGCGTTAAGTCTCTCCTGAGTTTACAAACAGGTTTTTGTTCTTGCTGATAACCATAATTCTTCTTCCTGAACCACTGTACTGTAACTCCCTATAACTTTAAAATGAATTAATTGATTTCTGCTTTTTAAGATAATTTCACATAATACTGCTAATGGGCCAGTGGTGAAATTCCTCTTGCCACCATACAGGCTACTCCAAACAATCTGTTTAATAGAWTTTTTTTCTCTTTTTTTTTAGGGGGGTCAGAGGAGGACTGGGGATAGAACATGCTAAAGTGAGCCACACCCCCAGTATCTGTAGACACTCTTCTAACTAAAGGAAGTTTGGAGTTAACTAGCAAAAAGCCTAAAAATCTGGTTATGTATACAGGTACAAAGCTGGTTCATCAAATCTCTGTTCTGTCCCCCAACCCACTGCATTTCAACTAAGGCATCATCCATTTCCTTCTTAATGTTTATCAAACACTTAAATAGGTAATAATCAGCTGCTCCTTGGAGGGGCTTCCCCCCACTTTTCAGCCCCTGGGTTGCTAAACTTCTCAGAAGCCTCTGGATCCTGGGCTTCATTGCCAAAGACTTTATAACTGTCCACAACCTTCTCCCCTCCCCTTTCCTCACTGCTTTCATCCTCCATGAGTTCTGGGATTTCCACTTGGGCAGTGGCCCCCAACAGTGGCAGACTCGCCCTCTGCAGAGCAGACCCCGCAGGGTACCCTCCTGGGGGCTTGGGGCCAAATTCTGGCTACTGCCCAATTCTCTGGGGATAGCTTTTCTCTCCTCCAAGGCCTGTATGACATCCTCAGGAGCTCCAGGCACTTCCCTCAGTTGTCTTACTGGCTTTCTGTTCTTTCGCCTTAAATGAATTCAGGAGTTTTCTGTGGCTTTCAGGGAAAGACTAACTCCCTGTTTTCTACAGGGAACTCATTTTTGCTAGACCTTTAAATCAGTGAGAATTTTTTCTATCCATGTTGTTAAGACCACTATGCCCTCCACTGTCTCAGAGCCCAAGGATGATACTTTGAGGGATAATTCTTTTATCACAGACTCCAACACCACAACGTAATGGGTTTTCTTGGCTTCTCTACTTTTCTTTGCTTACGTGATGGGAATGGTACTGTGATATCATCATAAAAACTCCAAGCCAAGGCCCACCTCATTGACAAAACCTTGACAAAACTCAGTGAAGGTAACTTTGGGAACCCCTTGGATGCAAAGTTCTTCCTTCAGTGGAGCCAGGCTGCATTTCTTTCCCAGCATACAGCTCTACCACCTTAGCCTTTTTTAAAGCTGTAAACTGTGATAGATGATCATTYAACAAATTCTAATTTATCCTTCTGCCATGATTTCTGTGATACCTCCTGTATTTTCAGAACTAGGTGGAGGTCTTTGAGGTTTCGAGAGTTTATTCCCTAGGCTTCCAATTGTTTGGCAAAAAGCGGGGGTGCTGTACATAAAAAAGTTATAGATTATCTCAGATTTTTCTTTAAGACTATCAGGAGTGTCTTGTGGCACTTTTACCACTTTTATGATATCAGATAAGTTACTCTGTTCCACATTTTTCTTTGCATAGTTGAAATACATATCATCTACTTCTATAGCAAGGAAATGCCAGCCATTTAAGGTTGCTCCAAGTAAGGTAAGGGATAGATGCAGGATGCCCCTGGACCTATGTCAGTTCCTCTTTGGAGAGTACTTTTCTCAGAGTCTTGATGATCAATCAGGTCTTCCACCCAATGAATATAGTTGAGTCTCAATAGATCTGTGGGAAATAATCTCTCCAATGGGATATCAATAGAAAGTCCAAAATCTTCCTTTAGGAGAGTACAAGTTAGAGCTCTGACTGCTTCAGGGTCTTTAAAATTAACACTTACTCTTGCATTCAGATTTATCTGAACATGCTGCTTAAAATCTGGGTATTTGGATGTCAGATATGCAAAATCAGGAGGTATATCCTTGTATTTATTTCTTTCATGCATTAATTTACTCAGAGCCATCTCTGACAACAATGTTCCTGACTAATGATGTGCCTGGTGTGGGTCTATAAAATCTCAGAATTTTAAGCCACCTGCACTTCTTAGCACTATCTGTAGAAACTATAGGTTCATGAGAAAGAGTATCACATATGGGCTGACAATCTTTACTGTGTTTACTGAGCCAACAGGGTAGTGTCACAAAGATCCCACTGCTCCAATTTCTAGATTAATGGGGTCATGCAATGAGGAACTCTGTTTCTAACAGAAGCACATGATACATAGATAACTGATTTACCTCCAACTCTCACACACATTTAACATCTCTTTGCGTCCTTGACCATGAGTAAAAAAATCCCAACCCACAATATACATAGATAGAATAAAGGATTCAGATTAAATTAATTATTTCACTGATTTCTGGCTTATTGTTTGTGAATGTATGTGTGTATATGTGTGTGTGTGTGTCATTATACCCTATTTGGAATATAAACTGGAAATAAAGTTTAACTCAAGTTGAGTAACAAGACATGTAAAATTTTTATATTTCTTACATAAATTGTTGAACCAAATTTATATGTTGTAATAAAATTAAATTGTAACAAGCTCCCCAACAAAATTTAATTTTTCTAACATAGTTATGTTTGAAATGAGTGACCAGATTTTGGGGTAACTGAGTATGATGGTGGCAACCTAGAACCATGTTTTCCAATATTATCTCCAAAAACAATATAGAAAAAAGAAGAAATAACATTACATCAAAGCCATGCCCTCAGCATAACCTGAAGACAGAGTATGACCAAATTTCAAAACTTTAAGTAAATTAAAAAATAATAAAGAAATAATTTCAACAAATCCAAACAAAATCTCAAGTTTCCATATTACTGTGAGGCCTTGTATTAAATAAGAAAGAACCCAGAAAAACTGAAGTTAAGGCAAAAAAATAAAATGTTAATATTGGGCTTGTTGTTAGCTTTATTATTTTTTTGTTGTTATTACCAGAAAAATTGAATCTAATATAATATATATATATATATATATATATATATATATATATTTAAAAAAACAGAAAATTCTAATCTGTTATGTGTACCATAATTGCTTTATGTTAGATAGATACATAAATGAATAAAACATCCCCAAACTCATTTTACTTAAAGAAAAAAATCAATAAAAAATTGATTTTAAGATAATACAATTTTTTTTTTAAAAATTAAGTAAATCATGTGTTAGTAATATGCTGGTATCCAGAACCCTTTTTTTTTTTTACTCAAATAGAACACAGCTTAATGTTGTTGTTTTTTTTTTTAACTTTTTTAAAAGTTGGATAAATATCAGATTTTGCCATACTTTGCAGAATAAGCCTAATATACTGGTTATAAAGAGAATTATTAGAGGATTGACTGTATTTGACCCTGATCTCTTAAGCAAGTCTCTATTCTGTTACTCTTCAACTTTTACAACCATTATTTCAAATCTAATCTTTTACCCCAAACCTCTTACCCCTTCCCCTGTCTTCTATCTTGCTGTTCACAAGGGAGCTCTCATCTTATCACACAGAATAAAAAGAAACAATTAGTCTAGTGATAGCTGATGTTTTCCCACAGGATATACCAACCTACTTATATGTGTATATTCTTCAGTTTTTTTGTGGTAAAGGAGAAAATTTCATCATTAAAAATACACCTTGTTCGTGGTGAGCTGTCTCACCTGTTCTTTCTGTAGTACTTGACTCTTAACTTTGCCTCTCATTTAAACTGTTCAAGTCCCTTTTAATACCAAGAAAGAAAGAAAGAAAGAAAGAAAGAAAGAAAGAAAGAAAGAAAGAAAGAAAGGAGAAAGAAAGAAAGAAAGAAAGAAAGAAAGAAAGAAAGAAAGAAAGGAAGAAAGAAAGAAAGAAAGGAGAAAGAAAGACAAAAAGAAAGAAAGAAAAAATATCCTTTATTCTAAGCATAGCCTAGCTATGTTCCTCTTTCCTACCCTTCAGGGCCACAGTTTATATTCTTCTTCATCTCCTTATCAGTCTTTGCTTCTCTCTACAAATAGAAACTGCTCCCCAAACTGTTATTCATTGCCTCCATGATGCCAGACCAACGGACCCCAAGTGGATGCTCACTGTCCATCTTACTTGACTTTTCTTCAACATTTACACAGTTAACCTTCCTTCTCTTGGCAAAAAAAAAAAAAAAAAAAAAAAAAAAAAAAAGAGCACTGCACATCTGTAGGAATTACACTAAGATTTCTAAGTACTTCTGGAAGAATTGTTTGGGTAAATCAAAGTTGGCAAGATTCCTGAACAGCCATTAAGTTCTCAAAGCAGGTGAAATCCCATATACAGATTCCAAATCTTAACCAGCAAGGTCTTAATAATCCATAATCTCTTGTAGGAGTTCTGTCATCCTTGAGTGTACACCTTCTATCCCCTCATATCCTGGTCAGAGACAGAAGRGGAACAGAAAACAGAAAGTAGGTGGTTATAAGACTCAAGTACTTTTAGTGGCCCTTGAGATCCAGGGAAACTCAGGTGAGATGATCTGGTGTSTTACCATTTAACTAAGATAGGAAGAAAAGAAGAAAGAATTCTTGTTACTTATTCAAATGTATATACAAATATCGTTATTGAAAATGGGTTGCTATGTCTATGTTTGTTTTGAAAAATAACTACACATGTTATCAGAAAACATATGGATCATAGTAAAATTTGATTAAAAATGCTTTTGTAGTCACGTAATGGAATAAAYGTTATATTTTTAAATGTAATTTGTTTCCTTTTGTAGTTCTTTAGGAACTAGATGTGTTTTTTTTTAATTTATTTTAGTTGTTGATAGACCTTTATCTTATTTATTTATTAGTAATGGTGAGAATCAAACCTAGTGCCTCACATTCCAGTCAAGTTCTATACCACCGAGCCCCAGCCCCAGTCCCTGGATGTGATATTTGAGCACAGAATAATAGAGTTGCATATACAAAAATCTTACTTTATTTTTACAGTCAACGTTAAACAGATTTAATATGGCTCACTTAATAAAATGAATAATTTTGTTTTATGGTGTCCAAATTTCAAAAAGGTAAATATTTTGCTTCTTTTTTTGAAATCTTTTTTTAGTTGTACTTGACACAATACCTTTATTTTATTTATTTATTTTTATGTGGTCCTGAGGATAGAACCCAGGGCCTCGCACGTGCTAGGTGAGTGCTTTACCACTGAGCCACAACCCAGCCCCTATTTTGCTTCTTTTATTTTTCTAAAAGAAGTTTACAGTTCACAGTTATTATTTTTCAAATATAGAGATAATATATATAATTTAGAATAATAGATTATATTTTTGAAGTACTATATTTTAAATGCGATAATCAAGAAAATTTCTGTCAGGCACACACCCAAATGAACTGGGACCCACAACTCTGAAGCACTTTTTTCGAAAATTGTGTTTCAAGTATAATCTTTGAGATTTAAATTTTTGAGACTTTTTACAGTTGTTAAACATCAAAATAAAATAAAATTTTAAATCTGGGCATGTAAAAGTTTATAAGATGAATGGGTCGGCTAGATTGATAGATGATTCATTAATTTCCACTACACCTTGATTCCATCTCTTTTCTATTATGTTTTTCATGTGTCTTCAACTTTTCCCAGTAAAATCAATTCTCCTCCTTTGTAAAATAACCCAGACATCTCCCTTTAAAAAGAAGTAAACCAGGGAGGGAAAGGGAAAGTACTGGGGAACAGAAATGAACAGATTTCATTGTTATATTATGTGATGTGCAAATACATAGCAAAGAATTCCACTAGTGTGAGTAATTATAATGCAACAATTCTTTTTTTTTAAAGAGGTAAACCAGACACCAGTCTTGAAATTCTTATACAGATCTGCTTTCTCTCTAATTTCACATTCAAATTTCTACAGAAGTGTTTTCTTTTTATAATCTCACCAATCTGCTCCATTCTGTCTTCCACCTTCTATTACCCATAACATCGTTCCCAGACTCATGAGTTATCATTTCTCCTTCATCACCAGTTAAATGCAATGAACTCTGTAATCCCCCATCTTGGTTGACTTGAATTCAGCCAGCTAACCACCTGGCACTCTTTTGAAACCTGTCCTTTTGCCATTCGTGGCGTAACTCTCTCCATCTTCTACTACAACTCCAGTCACTCTTTCTTAGTGTCTTTGGCAGGCTCAGTTTCTTCCCCACGTCATTAAGTGTAGGAGTTTTTCAAGGTTTGGCCTTAGGCCTGCTTTTATTCTAATTCTCTATTGTGTCTGAGTGATTCAATCCAAATCCATGGTTTCAATTACAAAACATTTATAGTCCTAAGCAAGACTTCTGAGCTCAACTGCTAACTTAAATCTCTCCTTTGACATAACAAAGGCATATCAAATATGACATTCAAGGGGGAACTCAGGATTCTCTGTTCAAATTTGGTTTACTTCTATGCTATCYTACCTTACCTGAGGCTTACCACAAGAGTCATGAAAATCACAATTCTGAGATTTGTCCTCCCTTGCTTTCTATTTAATTCCTCATCAGATTAAGTTCTTATCTGAATATCTCAAGACTACCCTTTTCTYTTTATCTCTGTCACCTCCTTAGGCTAAACTCTATCATTCCTTCCCTAGATTATTGAAATAACCTGATAACTTCTCTTTTTCTACTCTGCTAGTCTTCCTGAGTCAAATCAAGACTGATGACTGTTTGTATGTGCTCTATGAGCTGAGGGGAGTTTTTAAAGTTTTAAATATAAATAGTCAAAAGTTTTTAAATGGTTTTTAAAGACCACAGAATACTAATGTTTTGTGATGCATGAAATCTATATGAAATCAAATTTCAGTGTTTATAAATAAAATATTAACAGGCAACATATATACCCCCTTGTTACAGATTGTCTCTTGCTGCATTTTTGCTGCATTGCACATTGAGTGACAGGAATGACACCGTGCATGGTGCTCTCTTCACTTCAAATGTGAATTTGAGTAATCCAGTCATAATAGCATTCTCAGTACCATACTGTTCCTAATCAC